ATTGTTTCCTGGAGCGTCCACCGAATGTTCAATGCGCTTTGGTCTAATCCTTATGCAAGAAGGAAATCGAATTCGTAAAACGTATCGTTTCTCGTCGTCAGGTGATTTGCCTCCAAGAAACCAGAGGGCCCCAGAAGGAACTCGACCTCCTCCTCCTCGAGATGCATGGCGTGCGCGGCTACGGCACTTTCGCTCAAGAGCGCGATGCAGGCGGCTGCATTATCCTTATTAGCGAATCTCTCTGTTCGAAGTTTCAACGCATACAGCATCGCGTCGTTCGCCGAGGGCGAGCCCATCATGTTCTCCTGTCAGGAACCAGGATTACAAGCCTCTCGGGTCTCTCCTCCCAGAATGCCTTCCAGACCCTCCAGATCATGAGCAGTCACAACACGCTTATTATTCCTGTTCCTGCCAAAAAATATTCCGGAGTGCTGTGGCCCTGGCTCTATTCCCAGGCTCTAAAGTTGCCAGTTTCGTGGCGGTTGATTGGAATTTCTTGCTGTGAAGGGAAGGGGTCCCGGCACGTTTCTGGCCGCTTCCTTCCTGCTTGGCCCGACATTGTCAGACACGATGCCAAGCTATTTTCCTCATGCGCAGGGCTCATGCAAGATGTGCCCACGCACCGCGTCGTCTACGACGATGCGATATTTTCTGTCTCGCGGCTGGTTCGCATCCTGCGCAGCATGTTCACCGCGGAGCTGCTAGACATGCAGCCCGCCACCATGGCGATCGGCAGCGTCGTGGGCCGTGCGAACCTGTCTGACCACATTCCGATATGTGTTTCCCGTGCGCCGAAGGTAATCTGTTCAGATTCTGTATGCCGTCCTCCTTGATGGGTCTCCAAACATTTTGAATTTCCATAAGTCTGTGATCAAGCGTTCCTGGCAGCTGATCCGCTAAGCGACGATCCCTGGGGCAGACTTTCTGAAGCCAAAGATATCCTGAGATCCGCCTCCAGGGCCCTTCCAGGTAAGCTGGAAACCAGAGGAGCCCACACTGTCTCCGAGAAGTTCCCCTGGTGCCTTGCCCTTATGCGTGATGTGCGGGTGTCCAACCACGTCCTGGCTTCCAGGGCCGCCAGGGCTTATCCTTTCCTGAAGCAGTTCCTGGGCCTCCCGAATTTGATCTGGATCGACCGAGCGGGCCCCCGTGGGCACGTTGGCTCCCTGCAGACCTCCAACCTGCATCCAACCTGCAGCGCGAGCTTCGTGAACCAGAGCAAGACCAGGACTCCCCTCCAGCTGAGCGCCTCAGCCGACGGCGTCAACTTTATCAGTGTTGTTCCGCTTGGGCTTCTGGATGCAGGACCATTCGTCTTGCTGGCATCGCCGACCTCCAGGGGCCTGAGCACTCCGACCCCGAAGAAATTGCCAGGCGAATCGCTAAATATTGGGGCCAGATCCATCGTGGTCATAGGTGCCTGCCCGACCAGTTAGACAAGATTCGGCCGGTTGTGCAGCCAGCTCCGCCTGTCCCCGAATGGGAAATTGGGTTTGACGAATTCAGGGCCATCTTCACGAAAGTCAGAGATTTCTCTCCTGGCCCTGATGGGCTAGCATACTCTCAATGGCTGCGGTCAGGCGAAGCTGCTCTGTACTCCCTCTTCCTTGTGTACTCTGCCCTGTTCGCCAGCCTCTGCGTCGGCGACGGTTTCAACTTTGCGCATGCAGTCTTCCTGGTCAAGGGCGAAACGCCGCCCGACGTGTTCGCGGCCTACCGCTCTGTTGACAAGACCAGGCCAATCACTCTATCCGACTCCTGTAACAAGCTGTGTTGTATTGCGTTAAATCATGTTTTGGGTTACGTGTGCCAAGTTGTTCGTTGCAATAGTCAGGCTGGGTTTTGTTCGTGGTCGTTCAATGTTCGAGAATTCGATTGGCCTAGAAGCTAGTCTCTTTCATTACTTCTGCCAGCAGCACCTGACCGATTGCGTTTGCGTTCTGTACGACGAAAGCTGCGTTCCCCAGTCTCCTGCACGAGTTTATTCAGTGGGCTCTAGATATTACGGGTACTCCCCCAAGGTTCCGCTCTGCTGTTCAGCTACTATGTTCCTCTATCTGGATAAGTGTATCGTACAATGGTGTTGCGTCTCATGGGTTCTGGGTCACCCGAAGATAAGGTAAGGCTGCCCTCTCTCTGGCTCCCTCTTCGCCCTCTGCCTGGACCCCTTCCTTCGTATGATGCTCGATCGTCTCCCTCCTGATCACTCTCGTCTTGGGGCGTTTGCTGATGATGTGGGTATTGCTGGTGGTTGTGTCTACTCTACTCTTGCCACTGCCCTTCCTGTTTGGTGCATCGCCGCCGGCTCTGCCGCCCTTGTTCTCAAGATTGAAGGCATGCAGATTGTAATGCCCAAGTTGCCCGACCGCGCCGCATTCCTTGCTCGTCTGCGTGTACTCGGTATTCGTGGCTAAAGGTTCGCCCTCACCGACACTGGCAAATACCTAGGCCCCTGGATACGTCTCAGCGGCTGGCATAAATCGTGGCAGGCCCCACGCAGTGAATACATGGATCGAGTTGCTTGCGCGAAATCCCTGCACATCGGCTTCGCTAAGAGCATCGCACGGTGTAACACGTTCGACTTCAGAACCCTCACCTATTTTGCGCGATTCCACCTCCCCGACTCCGGGCCTCTGGTGATCGAGAGTAGAGCGTTGCAAATGCTTTCTGAGGCCCCGCGCAATGTTTACAGTAAGTCCCTGCTCTATTGTCTCAAATCTGACGGCTTCCCTACCCAGGCCAGAAATTTGTACTCTGTTGCTCGCGCATCTATGTTTAGGCTCGCAACTTACTCCAAAACGTTTCACGAACTGTGCGACCTTTTTAGTCAGTATAGTTCTTCCGACGATTGTGTTATTGCCTGGGGGGGCCGCCCTTTGTATCGTAACTCTAGCTTTAGGTCGCCTTGGGAGAATTTTGCCGCTCTCAGCCAGATTCCCTGAATGCCTGAATTCGGCGTTCCAACTTCCAGAAGAAAACTGAATACAGGCTGCACGAGTGTGCTGGTGACTCCCCGTGGCCCACCATTCAGGCGCGTGCCCGTCATTGGCTTCCCATGTCTCTTCCCCAGCGTGATATTTTATTCCGTGCTTTTCAGTTGATCGCGGGTTAAATCCCGCCGTGTGTCATGCCCTTTATCCTTCGCACAGTTTGTAATGCTTGGACCACTACCAAAAGGTTTCGGGGCCCCACCAAAGTGTGCTGCTTCTGCCAGTGTAAAGACGCACCTGATTCGCTCGCTCACTTGCTGGAATGTGAGGTCTTGATTGCCGCCATCACGCCTCTGCTCCCTCGTCTCCCCCCTGCTGTCTCCCTCGGTGGTCCTGCCTGTGCTGCTGTCTTTCCGCTTCTTCCTCTCCAATGTGCGCAGCTTCTTTCTTTTGTTTTTTTGTTGATGCTGCATGCGTCAGCTATCATACGTTCAAGAACCCCTCCAGAGTCACGGGCGTAGACAGGCTTCGCCGTGCGCTCAAGGCTCGCCTTTGCCAGGTCTGGAGGAGGATGCCGCCGCTCGCCGAGCTTGGTCGTGGACGCTGACGCATCGTTTCTTCTCTTCGCGTCTCGTGCTCTTGTCCGCCCGCCTTTCTCTTCTCTGCCAGTGCACTTCTCCTCCTCCTCCTCCTGAGCCTCCTCCGTCCGAGAGGCGAAAGCCCTCATCAGTGGCCGTCCATGTCTGGCTTCAGGCGCTGCATTGTGTACCTGAAAGGATAAACCGGCCCCTCATGTCCAGCTGAGGGTTCTTGCGCTCTCGCCTAGACTTGGTTGTTTTGGATCGGCTCCAGCGCAGGGTCATAGCGCTTGAGGCGAGTGATCACTCACATGCTTTCTTTTGGGGTGTCGTTGCTGCTCCTCGGGGTCCCAGGTTTGTGATGTGGGCAGGCCGTTTACACTCCCGACAGTGACTGGCAACAGGAATTGGAACCGAGTCCGTCAGGTGAAGCATCCTGACAACCCAGCGGTTTTCCTTGGCCTCGATGTTGTTAAAGTGTTTTCCCAGGGTTGAGGTATCCGTTTCAGCTGCAGTGTAGCCTCCTTTTGCGTTTCTCTTTGAGGCGCCATTGACGGCCAAAAGAGGAGGGAGGGAAGATAATGTAGGAAAGTGATGATGATGATGATGATGATGATGATGATGATGATGATGATGATGATGATGATGATGATGATGATGATGATGATGATGATGATGATGATGATGGTGATGGTGATGATGATGATGATGATGATGATGATGATGATGATGATGATGATGATGATGATAATGATGAGGATGATGATGATGATGATGAGGAGGAGGAGGAGGAGGAGGAGGAGGAGGAAAAGGTGGAGGAGGAGGAAGAGGAGGAGGAGACTCAGGGGGAGGAGGAGGCTCAGGAGGAGGCTCAGGAGGAGGCTCAGGAGGAGGCTCAGGAGGAGGCTCAGGAGGAGGAGGAGGAGGAGGAGGAGGAGGAGGAGGAAAAGGAGAGGCGGGGGACGGGGAGGGGGAGCAGGCCCAAAATTCGAGGGGCGGGGGCGCAGTGAACCCGATGCGGCCCCAGTCGCCCCCAACTGGCCCTGGCTGGCCCCAGTCGGCCCGTCGGCCCAGGTGTGCCGCCTGCCCTAGTCGCTCCAATTTGCCCTGGGTTTCCTGCCTTCGACTTCCAGGATCTGTAGTTGGGCACGACCTCCTGCTTTCGATGTCCTGCCTTCGACCTCCAGTTGGGCTCCAGTTGGTCCTTCCACTTCCAGGGTCTGTAGTTTCTCGCCTCTCCCGGGCCGCCTGGGGAGGCCTTCGGCCACGGCCCGGCGCGGCTCGAAGAGACTGGCCAGGACAGACCTTGGGGGGGGGCCAGGCATCGGCCTCGAGCGGGCTCGGGTCGGGGATGAGGCGACGGAGGAGGCCTGCTGTCCGGAGGGCGCAGGGGGTATGGTACTCACGCCGGGCGGTTCCTTTCGAGAGGGCCCCTGCCCTCGCGGGAGGCCGCCGTCCTCGCCCTGCCCTCCCCTTGCGCTCCGCCAGAGAGGTTCCCGAATGACAAGTCGGAGCTGGCGTTCGTCGCGGGGCGCGCCAGGCAGTCGCTCCGGAACTGCGCGGTGGCGAGCGCCATCGTCCAGGCGCTCGCCATCATCGCCCTCGTCCAGGACGGCGGCCGCAGTCTGGATCACGAGTGCGAGGCGGTGCGGGCCGTCTACCAGATGAAGGTCGTTGTCATCGTCGTCTTCGCGATCCCGTCGCTTGCGATCTGCCTGGGGCTGTATGAAAAACTAGGGGCCGTGGGCAGCGAGAGGCTGGTGTCGACCATGTGCGTCGTTGCCTGCCTAGCGGTGATATTGTCGAATCCCTACTACGTGTCGCTGCTGCACGGGTCCGTTTCCAGCAGTCCCGTCGGTCTGGACGGCCAACCTCTGCGGTCGGACGTGGAGACGGCCCTGACCTGCCTAATGCTAGACGGCGTGCTGACGGTTTCGCACCTGTACTTGCAAGTGCGCTGGCATTACCTCCTGGCGGCGGATTCCACTGTGCTGCTGGCTATTGCGTGTGATTCCTCTCGCTTCGCGGGGCGCGCGCCTGGAGCACGTGAGTGTTGTTGCCGCATTCCATGGCAAGAGGTCTCTTGGGATCAGCCGCGGGGCTCACCAGGGGCTTCTTGGAGGCTTCGGGGGGCACATCCTGGTGGCCCCTGGGAAGCGCCGCCGAAGAGGCACCCAGTTTGGGCATCGGAGGCCCGTCTTGAGAGGCCCCAGGGCGCCCGTGAGTTCCCCTGGCCTTCCCGAGCGCCGCCTGGGCACCGCCTCCCCGCCTGCGAGCAAGCCCCCTCCTCCCACAGGGTGACTTTCTGGATGTTTATGTTTGACAGGAGTATCGGCCGCATAACCATCTGTAGATGCACATGCCTGGAAGTTGTAGTGTTTGATCTGGTTCGCATCTTGCTGCGGAATCGATTCATGATGGCTGGAATGATGACAAACAAAAGAAAAGCTGGGCGGGGCCGCCATTTCGCACGCTGGCACCCAAGGGGTCGGCGAATTTCATGAATGATGAGTCGCACTCGGTCGAAAAGTGGTTCTTGCTGACGCTGAGCATGCTGGCGCTCTTGTCGATCGTAGGAGCCCGAAACAACGAGGCCACCCAGCGGAAGCTGTTCCAAGCCCTGCTCCTGGAAAGGAACGGGCGCGTCGCGACGGAGTTCAAGTTGGAGCAGGCGCTGTCGAGCTCTTCAACCTGCATGGACCCCGAGACGCGCTCGCACGTTTCCCTGATATCATCGAAGGCCTCGGACCAGGTGTTCGACCTGGCCAGGTTGCAAGGCACGGATGAGGACGACGACGTGCTGGCGTTCGAGTGCAAAACCGCACTGCGCTCTGTAGCGGCGGTCGGCAAACGACAGAGATGGCTCGTCGACACAGAGCACGTGCGCCTGACCACGAAGATACTTGGCTCTGGCAGCTTCGGGCTCGTCGTCCAGGGCGACTTCGTCGGCACCCCTGTGGCGGTGAAGATCCCCAGCGGGGAGGTCTCCACCAGGTCTTTCGTGAACCTGGGGAACGAGCTGGGCATCATGCGGCACCTGAGGCACCCCAACATCGTGGGTTTCCACGGCGCGTGCATACAGCCAGACTCAGGTCGCATGGCGTTGATCCTCGAATTAGTGCGCGGCAGGACAGTCGACCAGCTGGTCTGCGACCCCGAGAACCCGCTAAGGGAGCTCGCGCGCGCTCAGGTCTTGTCTGGCGTGTGCTGCGCACTGCGGTACCTTCACTCTCGGGCGCCTCCTGTGGTACATGGTGACCTGAAGGGCTCCAACGTGTTGGCGGAGCAGGACGCTCAGGTCGGGGGTTCGAAGAGGGGGGATTCTCCCTAAGGTGGGGCTGGGGAACGGGCTCAGCTGGATGCTCCCGTTTAACGCGTCTCCTTCTTCCAGGGGCCGTTCGGAGCGATTTTCCTCCCAACCCCACCTTTGTCCCTACCCCTTCTTTATGCCCCCTCCGATCAGGGCAACCTGAAGCCGACGCTGCTGGACTTCGGGCTGTCGCGCCGTCTTCGGGGATCCGTTCTGCCGCCGGGCGGGACGCTGCAGTACATGGCGCCCGAGGTGCTCCACAGCTCCCCGCTGGACTGCCTGTCCGACGTGTTCTCCCTGGGCCGCCTCGTGTTCCTCGTACAGTCAGTGGCTCCGTGCCGCTGCTCGGCGTGCCCGAGGCCGACGTCGACGACGACGACGACGACGACGACGACGACGACGACGACGACGACGACGACGACGACGACGGAAGTCGACTGCGGCGGCGGAGAAGATGTTGAGCCCGAGGTCGAGGTGCGCGAGCGGTCCCGCAGCCACTCGCCGGACCTGGCGTGGCCGAAGGAGGTGGTCGGCTCCGCCCTCTGGGCCACGAGCAAGAGTCTCCTCGCGTTCGACCCCGCAGAGCGGCCATCCATGCTCGAGGCGCACCGGATGCTGCACGACTGTTTCCCCGGGCTGCCTGGGCAGGACCCAGCTTCGTCTCTAACTTATCCCGATCACCACCTGGGCGATGGTGCCTCAGCCCCACCAGCCCGCTCAGCTAGGTGGGGAAAGGGCCCGCGAAGCTCGAAGAAACAGGCATACAATCCAATGCTGATGTGACCGCCCCCTCCCCTCCCCCCCTGTGGTCGTGGCCCTGTGGGCGTGGCGTGGCGTCGTCGTCGTCGTCGGCGGCGGCGGCGGCGGCGTCGTCTCCTCCATGTCCCATCAGTGGGGGGCGTGTGAACCCTGGGACCTGGGACCACTCCCATCTAGGGGGGGACCTGTGAACCCTCGACCCTGGATCACATATCCCCACCCAAGTGGGTAAGTCGGCCAGTGAGGCCAAGGCCATGCTAGTGGGGATAGGGATCGGTCAAGCGGTGCTCAAGGACGCTCCCGAGCCGCTCCTCCATCATGCCCCCGCTGCAGGGGAGCCCTGCGCCGAGTCGTGGAACGACACGTACCCATGGCTCCTGAACGTCGCGTGCAAGGCCGTGAGGCGCCAGTGGCCGATCGAGGGCCAGGAGAACGCCTGCTTGAGCCTCTCTGTGAACTTCCACCCGAGCGAGCACAACAGCTCTTCCCCGCAGTCGTGGAGCGAGGTCCCGAAGAACAAGCGACCCTCAGAGGAGGGCAGATTGAGACAACGGTAGTTGGTCTTCGGTAGGGGGTCCTCGTCGCTACGGCTGGACGCTTCTCGGAAACCTGGTGCGTTTGTGTGGAAGCGTGCCTGATTACACCCTCAGGTTTAGCATGGGGACACCGTTTCCTTGTTCCCGGTAGTTTTGCACTGTCGTGTACTGTAGCAGACATAGAATGCCATGTGTGTACTGTTGTTCGCACCTAGGCTCAAGTCCAAAATACCATCGTCTGCCGCTGCTGCTGCCACAGTTGGTAGCGGAGCGGTGGAAGCCTCCGGCGCCATGGGTTCCCCGACCAGGCGCGCCATGGCGCCGGGCGCGGGAGCTCAGAGGCCTTGAGGCGACCTCCGCGCCGAGTGAGCCGACTGGCGTGGTTCCACGGCATGACGGGTGAAGATGAGCAGTTCAACGCAGCTGTCATCCAGGGCGCCGAGGGGACCAGCGAAGCGACGACAGCAGGCTTGACCGCGGATCCTCTGAGAGAGATGATCGCCGGAGTAGTCAGGGAGACAATGCGGGCGGCGAACTCATCCCCACCAGCATCTGCGTCGAGCCCCCCACCGGAAAGTGTTCCAGGTCCATGGGCCAGGGCCGACAAGACGGCGCCGGCAGCAGCAGTAGCAGCAGCAGAAGCAGCAGCAGCAGAACCGGATCTGGACCTGCACGCCTGGAAACACTACCAGCTGAAGGAAGGCAACTACAAGGACGGTCCCAGGAAGATCGAGATTGGTGGCGCAGCTGGGCGGGCAACGGCAGCTGGAACCAAGACGACGGATGGCGAGGATCTTCCTGGAGTTCGGGGGCCAAGGGAGATTTCTCCAATCCTCCCTCATGGCGCGGCTGGAGCCACTACAGCCAGTGGCGGAAGGCATTGACCAGAGGGAACCGAATACTGATGTTCCGGTACGGCGACGAGCAGAGAAATTCATGAATCTCTTCGACTGGGGTACGCAGGCAAAGTTCGAGGATATTCCAGAGGCCACACTCAGCAGCAGTCGGTGGCTCGAAACAGTCCTAGGACGCATGGACATGATGATGGGGGAACGCGAGGGAGATCACCTATGGCGCACGGGTAGCGCTGTTTGCGGCCTCGCGAGATTCGAAGGAGACCTTCATCCAGTTTGTGAGCAGGAGAGAGGCCCAAATGCTGGAGTCAGAAGGGCACGACATGTGGCTGTCCTCTAAGTTGAAAGGGCTGCTTCTGGAGGAGGGTGCCGGCCTGACGCAGCAGGGCCTGCAGAACCTTCGCACCCTCACCAGAGACCAGCTTGATTTCGAGAGCGTGTCCGGGGCCTTGAGGCTGATGGATGCCACTGGCTCAGAGCGTCTTTTGCCCAATCGTAGCATTCCTGGTGCTATGCAGGTGGCTGAGGGCGCTGCGGACAACGAGCCCAGGGCCGACGGTTTGCGTCAGACTCAGGTCTCCCCTCTTCCTCCTTCCCATGGTGGGTTCGACGGTGCCGTCGAGGACGACTCGGGGGAATACGACGAGGACTCCGAGGAGGAAGACGAGGAGGAGGAGTATGACGAGGCCACCCTGATGGCAGAGCTCGAGGACCTGGATTTGCACGAAGACCACGTGGACGAGGCGCTGGCGGCCATCGCCACACGGACCACCGGGAGGACATGGAAACAAAACAAGGAGGTCAAGCGCGCTGCCAAGAAGGAAAGAGAGTAATTACCTCGGCGGCCGGCCGAAGGCCTCGGAGGCGAACGTCCCCTCTCCTCCACGGGCTTCCCGGCCAGGCCGAGGCAGCGGGTGAGGTCGTTCAGATGGTCGAGGACGCGGACGAGGACGTGGAGATCACGACCAGGGTCGAGGAGGCAGGCTCGGCAGATTCCTTCGCTGGAAGATCGAGCAGCGGACGAAGGTCACCAAGTGCAAGATCTGTAGATAAAAGGGGCACTGGAGTAGAGAGTGCCCCAACGCCGGCCGCAGCAAGCAGGAGCGCCAGCTCTCCGGCAACTTCGGAGGAGTAGCCTTCCTCGAGACAGAGAAGCCCCCCACGCAGGAGGCCGTCGAGGACTGGGAGGATGTCGAGGAGGAGTTGACTCACGATGACAGCTTCCTGGTGACCCGTCCAGTCCAGGCCTTGGTCGACCCAGGAGCTGGGAATGACTTGGTAGGCATCGGCGCGCTCAATCGAGAGTGTGAGGCTCTGGCGGAGGTCGGGCTTCAGCATGTGGCGGCGCCGCCTGATTTCCGCGGGCCCAGTGCCGCCCGCGGGATCGGGGGCCCAGCGAATATTTTGGGTGCGGTGCTGTTTCGTCTGTGCTTGGCGGGGGCCCTCGGGGTCGTCGAGACTGCAGTCCTCGCCGAGGAGGTGCCGCACATTTTAAGTGTGAGTTTTCTAGACTTTCTTGATTGTGCCATCGATCATTCCAGGAATGACATGCACTCCAGCCGCCTGGACACTGACATCCCTTTGACCAAGTGGGGATCGGGACATCGGAGGGCGGATGTTGCCCAGGCGCTTTCAGACTCGATGGTTCCAGAGTCGGCTTCTCCGGCGTTTTCCGCCCCTGACCCCCGACGCCTTCGAGCGCAAGGGAGGCTAGGTGCAGGCGGTGTCCGCCACGGGCTAGATTCGAGACTACATGCTCACATCCATCATCCTCCTCTCCGTCGCGGGCTCTATCCCATCGGCCCTTTGGGGCTTCAACCGCAATGGCAGCAGGGTCAAGCAGAGGTCCAAGGATGCCAGAGTCGAGAAGATCAAGTACCACCGGGGCTCCAAGGAGCCCGTCTCCGACGGCGTCGCGCCGAGGTCCGAGGTGGCCAAGTCCGTTAGGATCAGGCACCGCAGGTACTCCGGGATACTTGTCCAGGGCATCCTCGAAGGCCTCCTGTCCACTCCTGGCGGTAAGTCTCGGTGCAGGGCTCAGGTGGGGCTTGGTTCTCCGGCCTCGATCTTAGCGTCGCAGGGGCCAGCTATGGGCGTCAACAGGCTCAACAAGGCCAACGAGTACCGGAAGTCAAGCTCAGGAGGGCCCCACGCAGCCACCCCTCGGCCTTTGTGGGCTCTCATTGCCTCGGGGTTGATCCACCGAGTCAGCGGGCCCCTAGTTGTCCTCACCTCCGTAGTCCATTTAGGCTTAGGCCATCCAAGCTTTCAGCGCTCTCCGGGCGTTGCCCGGCCTCGGCTCGCGAGGCGACTAGCCTCGGCAGAACCGATCGATGGCGATCCCACTGGCAGCGATCTTCTGCCTAGACGCCCAGGTGAGTGCCGGCCCCGAGAAGCATAAGAACAAGCCGGTGGCCCAGGAGGCTGCAGAGGAGATGTTGAGGCAGCTCCGGGGCGGAGGCGCGGCTGGAGAGGCCGCGGCGACCGAGGCGCCCCAGGGCGCCCCCCTCGACCCAGGGGCGGCAGCAGGAGCCGATGTTGCAGTCGGGCCTCAGGCGAGCACCGGAGTAGATCTCGAGATGACGGTGCCGGAGGCCACTCAGGGGCAGACAGTTGCTTGCCCCAGGGCGTGGCCCAAGATTCCCCCAGCCGCCAAGGCGCCGGTCAAGCCTCCGCCAACGGCCGCCTGGGGGGAGCCACTACCCATGAAAGCAGCGCCAAGGATCATTCGCCCTCCGGCTCCGACGGGGGCCCAGGAGGGCGACCCGTGGACAGGCTCGGCTCCGCCGCCCCTGCCCTCAGGAGCCCCCCCCATCAGCTTGCAACTGCCAGTGTCCGGACATCAAGCACCGCGGCAACCGGCGCGGATGGGGGGCCAAGTGTCGAAGGTGCGACCATCGGTTCCATTGGATTCCCAAGAATCAGGACCAGCCTCCAGCAGGGCGCCCCGAGTCCTCCGCAGAAGCAGCCCGCTCAGCGGCGGATGCGGCGGCTCGAATAGTGGAGGCACTCCAGAACAATCCGACGTTCGTGGAGGGAGCTGCGGCGCTCTGCACGGCCAATGGGTGCGCCATGATCCAAGCTCTGCAGTGGCAGCTGGAGGATTTCTCCGAGGGGATCAAGGCGATGAAGGGCATCCAGACCGCGGTGGACAGGATGCTTGAGTTCGCCTCGCTGCACCAGCCGATGGGCTCGAATCAGGTCGAGGAGGGGCTCCAGCAGATCTTCCAAGGGATTGCCCACATTCGCGGGGCCTTCGGAACGTTCGAGGTCCTCGGAGACACCGTGGACACGATCCAGCAGAGCATCGAGGGCATCCAGTCTCAGGTGGGCAACGCCAACATGGCGCTCCACCAGCTCGTGCAGATGACCAATTCAGATCGGCGCTGCCGTCCAGGGGGTCGCCCACTACATGGGCATGAACCTACCGATCCAGGAGGCGGCGAGCAGCTCGAGAGGTGCCAGCGGGAGCGGTCTACCTCCCCCTCCTCATCCAGGACATCCGCAGGTCCAGCAGGTCGAGAGCAGCCTGAGCAGCGGAAGCGAGGAGGCTGCTGTGACTGCGACCCTCGACCCCGAGAGCACCGATTTGCCAGCGACCACTCCGACGGCAGAGGTTGCCATCGAGGGTCAGGGCGGGGCGGGGCAGGTGCTGCCCGACCCCGCCGGGCCTGGCTTGTGGGGGCTGATCTGAGTCAGCCACTGCCGCCAAAGCCAGGACTGACGTCGCAGGGGAGACACTTCTGAGCCGAGCCTGTCGGCCAGCTTCTCGCGGGGCGCCTGCCAAGCTGCCCGAGATGAAACGTGTGAATTTTGTCCTCCTACAGTTGGGCTATCATCGTGCTGCCCCACGGGCTCCCCGAGATCCCGAGCTGTTCCGCGCGGTGTGGCCCGAGAGCCTTCGCCGGGCCCCAGGGCCCAGGGAGCGGCTCCGAGCTCGGTGATTCCCGAGGATTTCGGAGCGCTCTGGAACGACGGGGATTGCGCGAACGACGATCACGAGGTGGCCTGGACCAGTGCTGTGCGGAACGCTCTCGAAAGGAGTGCTGCCGAGGGGTCCGCGCGCGGCGGGGGCCGGCTCCGGGCCGGGGCCAAGCGGATGATCAGGGCACCCAACAGAGGCCGCACGGCATTTATGGAGGTCTTCTCTCCGCCCATGATCGCTCCAGAAGCGAGCGAGCAAGGGGGCCTCTCGGGGGCGAATCCGAGCCTGTGCAGGCTGACCGGGTGGGACTCTGCTAGGCCTTCTCACGTTGAGCAGCTCTGGAACAGATCGATCGGGACCAGCCCGACATGGTTTGGATGTCGTCCGAGCGCCGTGCGTTCTCGGCCATCGATCGCATCAGTCGCGACGCGAGAAATCCCGATCGGTGGCGTCAGGAGGTTCGGGATGGGCTTCGCGATCTTAACCTGCGCATGATGGTGGCATTGCGCCAGCAAGCTAAGGGGCGGCACTTCGCCTTCGAGCGCCCCCTTTATGTCGGCTCGTGGGGCGCACCTGTTATCCAGTATGTCTCAAGGCTTCCAGGTGGACATGTGTCGTTTTGGGTTTCAAGTGAACTCCAGTGGTTTGAATGAGAAGCCGACCGGGGCCCTGGCGAATCACCCCCCACCTCCAGAGGATCCTCGGAGACCACCTCTGCCTGGGGGATCGCAGACACGCGGTGTTAAAAGGTGGCCATCAGACATCCAAGGCAGCCCGGTATACCTCCAGGTTTGCCAGGCTGGTGGCCAGAGCTGTGACCGAGCAGTGGGGCGGGGCTTCCGAGAGTCGCCCCGCCTGGGCAGAGATGGAAGAAAGGTCTTTTCCGGCGGCGGCGGCGGAAGGCAGCGGCCACTTGGGGCCGATCGCGGAAGTCAGCGAGGGAAGCGAGGCGGACAGCGGAGAAGAGCCCGAGACTCGAGGAGCGCCTGTCTCCCGGACTGTCCCCAGCGAGGAGATTGAACCGTCGGAAGAAGGGAAGATACTCCTTTACAAGGAGCGTTTTTACATGGGACACCCCGAGGTCCGGAAGTTATGCCGGGTCCTGCGGGCCGGGGGAGTCAAGCCGCATCTGGTTCAGTGGGTGAGGGGGGGTTCCGCCGAGTGCGCCGAGAATCGCAGAGCGGGCAACCACCGTCGGGTAGCCCTTCCCCACGCCTTTCGATTCAATCACATTGTGCGTATTGATTTGTTCTACCTTGACTTCCAAGGCGTTTCGCGTTCGTTCATCAATCTCGTCGACCACGGGTCGAATCTCCAAGTTCGCTGTAGAGTGCCCGGCGCTCGAGCTGCCACAGCGCGGGCGGGCTTTGTCCAGCGTTGGCTGAAGCCGCTAGGAGATCCCCACTTTATGATCTCAGACGGTGGACTTGAATTTGGAGAACGCTTTGCGTGTGGGCTCGAACAGCGGGGGGCGAAGCACCGCGCGTGCGACGCCGACCCCCCGTGGCAGGGTGGCAAGGGTGAGCGCCACGGGGGTTGGATCAAAGACAGAGTCAAGGCGGACATCGACGCTGGCGCCCACCCTCCCGGAGATCTAGAGGAGTTGGACGCCCTTGTCCATGAGTTGACTCCCCGCAAGAAGGGATGCTGGCACCGCCGGGGGGTCTCACCCCTCCAGCTTGTTTTCGGCGAGAATCCGAGACTTCCTGAGTGACGACTCGCGCGGACTTCCCAGCTGGGGGGGCCCCCTTCGATCCCCGCCCGAGCAAGATGCCGCCGCGGCGGAGTTCGCGAGGGCGCAAGAGATTCGAACCTCGGCCAGGAGCGTAGCCATGCAAGCCATGGCCCGCGAGAAGATCAGCCACGCCTGGAGAGCCAAGGCCCCCGCTCCTCGCGACTCCGTGCCTGGGCAGTGGGCGCTGGGTCAGCCGGGATCCCCTGGCCCCTCCGCGTCGTGCCAGGTTGTTTCGGGACAGGTCTGGTCGCCGGTCGCGGGTCTCAGGGGGCTGGGGAGTCGACCGCGGAGTCGGTTGAAGCTCGGGCTGGCTCGGAATAGACCCGAGCGCCCTCCGAGGATGTGTCCATGCAGACCTTAGAGCATCCTCCGTTCGTCTCTCCTCTTGAGGAGGAAGAGGGTCTTCAGGCCGGGCCCAGCGAGCAGGTGTCTACCACTCCTCCTGCTCCTCTCTCTCTCCTCCTCCGCCTCCCGCTTCCTCTGGCCCCGCTCCCCTTTCGTCTCCTGCCCCCGGCGCCGTTTCTCCGATCCCCGCCAGCTTCCTCATCCCCCCTGGCGGCGTCGGCGGTGGCGCCCAGGCCTGGCCGACGTCTTCGAGAGAGCATTGCGAGGAGTCCGAGGTGTTCGCCACCAGTAGGAGGGGAGAGGTGTCTTTGGAAAGTTTGACGCCTTCCGAGAGAGACAAGTTTAGGATTTCCGACGCTAAGGAATGGGATGCCATGATGGGCGCCGGAGCTGTAGAAGCGATCCCTCCTTCGAAGGCGGAAGCCGCGCGGAAGGCCCACTTCGACAGGGTAATTTCCAGCCGGATGGTCCGTCGCTGGAAGCCGGTGGAAGGGACTTTCCAATGGCCAGACGCCAAGTCGCGGTGGTGTGTCCACGGCCATCGCGATCCTGATTCCGGGGCCCTGGCCGTCTATGTCCCGACCCCCCAGACGCCCAGCATTATGATGTTCCTGCAAGTTATCATGAACCTGGGTTTGTTTGCGGACGCGTGGAACCGCGTGGGGGAATGCACTTGCCACCGGGCTCACTTATCCTCAAGGGTCAACGTCTACGGTTTAGACGACGCCCCGATGGCCTGGCGGAAGATTGTGGTCACCTTCCTCGAGCATCTCGGTTTCTCCTGTTCTCTACTTGAACTCTGTTGGTGGATTAGATGCGGGCCCGACGGGGACATCGAGAATATGATGTTGCTCGAAGTCAACGACTTCTTCATGGCGAGCGCCTCGCCAGATGACCGGAAGTGGCTTCGAGCGCGTCTGGGATCGAGATTCCGTTATGGGAAGTATCGAGACTGCGGGGCTGGATGCGTCGATTTCGCTGGGAGACGCATCGCCATTGGGCCCAAGGGGGCCCCCGTGGACATGGAGAAATACATTTTCGCAGAAGTGCATCCTCTGCCCGGGGCTCGTGGGCGACTCCCCCGCAAAGATGCCCCCCGTGAGCCGGCAGGGTTTAAGGCCCTTCGTTCACTCGCGTGCGCGTTTCATTGGCTCGGGCGAGAAGTCCGCCCTGAAGCAGCAGGTGCAGCTAGTGCCCTGGCCAGCCAGTTACAGCTGGTTAAAGTCAGCCACGACCGGAGACGTCGCTATGGCCAACAAGCTGGTCAGGCACCTTCGGTCCACCGCGTCTAGAAGTACGTCGTCTGGAAGCTGGATTTTGACAAGGTGCCGTTCGTGTCCCTCTCAGACGCAGGAGGCGCGGGCGCTGCCGACGGTCTGTCCGACGAGCGAGGGCTCCTTGAGGACCCAGGCCAAGGTGCCTGGAAGGTGCCGGCGTGTGACCAGGCCGCGTTGGACAACCAAGTTGTAAAAGCGTCCATTCTCGGATGGAGAAGCTCCGAGCTTCGGCGGAAGGTCCCTTCGACCCGGACTGGAGAGACCCAGGCTCTCTCAGCGGCGGTGGCGGAAGTAGAATACTTTCAGATCCTGTATCGAGACGTGTCGTTCGGCGACGTGAGTGTTCGTGATCACCGCCGGAGGTCTGGCCCTTTCACTCGCGCGCTGCGCCGTGACTGTGGACTCGGATCCCGAGGCAGACAGGTACACGTAGTGAACGCAAAGTCCATCTACGGCACCATGATGAAGGAAGGCAATGCCAGTGCTAAGGACCGAAGGACTGCCATATACTTGGCATTTTTTGGTGAAGCTTTAGAACAGGCCAACGGCAGAGTTCGTTGGATCCCGCACGGCAGGATGCCGGTGGACCCACTTACTAAGGGCGGCGCTATTAAGTGTAATACAACATTGTTCGACCGTAGTGCTCGTAGATGAGAGTTCCGAAGTAGAGCGGAGACGAGAATATCCAGGGCTCGAGAATCATTCCCAGGCTGCTTCCAGGAATATCGTGAATCACATGAACATGATATCCTGGAGCGGGTTCCTCACGGTTCCTCCCGAGGACTGCGACGGTGGTGGTGGTGGTGGTGGTTTACTCTCCTTCCTCTCCTTCTCTCTCTCTCTTTTCTCTTTGCCTCTCAGCTCCGGTGCTGGACGCCGCGGGGGTGTTTCAGTAAGCCGTTGCTGGGTGTTTCCAGGGCTACACTCGTGTGGGCACGCGTGTATTGATTTAGTTACCAGTTTGTGTCCACAAGGGATCCCTAAACTTGTTAGAGAGTTCAGGGCATGTGGAAGTGTTCCTGATTTCACCCTCAGGTATTGTATGTGGACACCGTTTCATTGTTCCCAATAGTTTTGCATTGTCTTGTACCGTAGCAGACATTGAATGCCATGTGTGTACTGTTGTTCGCGCGTTGGCTCAAGTCCAAAATGTCATCGTCTGCCGCTGCTGCTGCCACATTTGGGCCCTGAGGGGTCCAGGCAACGATGTTGAGTTGCCGTTGTTTCAATTCGCCCTGCTCTGGGACACGGCACCTGAGTATTCGGCAGGCTTGTGTTGCGCCGACGCGAGCGTTCAGGATTGAACGCCGCTGATGGCCCTGGGTCGGCCGACGTGGAACCATATCGCGCGATCGGGAAGCCGCGCGTGTTCAAGATGTACGATCCGCGCGGTGTCAGAAGCCAACGCCAGGGTCACCACGAGACCAACCTACCGTACCGACTATTCGTAAGAGTGGCCCTTCGCCGAATGACCTTTGATGCGGGGCCACTGGGGGCCCGCCGACCGCCGAACGCGCTGCGATAGTGGCGTCTTGCGCGCGCGGAGTTGGCCTGCCCGCGACCCCCTGAAGCCGCGCACCAAAGGTCACTCTTGCCTACGGTCACTCTTGCGGGAGGTCCGCGCGGGGTTGTCCGAGCCGGCGTCGGGCGCACCCGCCGGGGGGGCGTCCAGAGCGCCGACCTGAGAACTCCGCGCGGACCTCCGAAAGTTTATGTTTGTGCCGCTTGTGATTCTTGCAAGGTTTCGGTGTGAGCGGCAAGGACGTCCTCGGGGCCCCCCTCCCCTTCGGAGGCTGCCGAGGGGGATTTGAGAACTCTGCAGGGGCCTCCGAAGGCTTGTGCTTGTGCCGTTTGTGACTCTGCCCACGTCTCGATGTGAGCGTGGCCAGAGCGCCATGCTGGGCTGTAAGCGGGCGCTCCCTCTCCCTGCCCTCCCTCGTTCCCTCCTCCTCTTCCTCCTCCTCTTCCTCCTCCTCTTCCTCCTCCTCCTCTTCCTCCTCCTCTCCTCCTCCTTCCAGTTACAATTCGAGGCCCTCTGGGCGGCCCACAGCAAAATGCGCGAACATGGTTTTCTTCTTACCATTTTCCTTGTGCCTGGCGCCCCTCAGCCAGAAAGTTGGCTGAGGCCACGGCGTTGAGCTCCTGGAGCCCCCTACTCTGGCTTGGAATCCACTGCCCCTCTGTTGTGAGGCGATTCTATAGGAGGGGGAACAGGAGGCAAGTCGTTTGCACAGTTGGGAGGAATTAGTGAATTCAGAGGGGGTCGGGCTTGCAGTATCTCGAAGATGGCTCGCGCCCTACAGGCGCCAACATCTGGCATATATGCTGACAGATGGCCTTTCGCTGCTCGGAGTCTCTGGCGAAGTATTTATATTCGCTGACGTCTGTTTTTCCCTGGCTCGACTTGGTCTGCAGTGTTTACCACTACGTCGAAGTGTTTCTCATTCTGAGAGGAAAGTCGGCCTCGCCAAGCTTTTCGACCTCGCCTCGCGTCCGAAGGAGCCTCCGCGCTGCGTCTGCTCGTCTTTTCTCTCGGTGCGTGGACTGTCGCCGGCCCCCTGTGGCATGGTGCCCCCCCGGAGGAAGGCGAGCTGGCCAGGGGATGCGTTTGCCACAGCCGCGGTCAACGCGCGCCGTCGCCGGTTTATAGAGGCAGTCGCCGTGGGACGGAGTCTCGCCATTGATTTGCTGTGCTACCAGCGTTTTCGAAAGAAAGACGTCCAGGTAGAACGACCGGAAGGTTGCGCAAGAGCGCCCCCCGTGTCCCCAATTTCGATGTTCGTCCGATCGTGCAGGCCGCAGCTTGCAATCGTGGGCGTGGATTTCGAAACGACTCGCCCTCCCCCATGTCGAACGCCCCGAACTTTAAATTTTGGGCCCGGGGGGTTGGGCCCGCTTCAACACGCATTGCATATGGGCGTTTTTTTTGACGAAACCGTTGCTTTTTTTTGCCTCAGCGGCGCAGAGTTCTCCCTAGAAGTTGGGGTTCACGCGCTGTCACGGCCACATGCGGGTGTCGGTGTACTCCGCCCCCATGTGGAGGTGGGGTGGATCCCCTCTCTGTTCGAAAAGCTTGCTGGGAGGGCAGGATGCCTCCGAGCCCAAGAGACGCCATCACGCTGGGAACGAGGAGGGACAGGAGGGGGGAGGATCGGAGGGATCATTGTGAACTGCCCGAGGACTCGAAGCTATGGCGGCTCCCGCCGACCAAGGATAATCCCAACATGTTTTCGAGATGGACCACGCGACGACCGAGAGGGCCCCATATAGCATCCAGCTCAGCCCCACACCGTCCAAGAGGGATAGTAGGGGGAGGAGGAACAAGAGGAGGAGGAGGAGGAGGAGGAGAAGGAGGAGGAGGAGGAGGTGTTAGAACATAGCGTTGCGACTGGGTGAGAAGGATGCACTTGTTCGTCAGTTAGGCACCTTGAGGTACGGAGCTCGCCCCGCCTGCGTTTGGCTCAAGTGTTGATTTCCTCAAGGAAAAATGTTCATGGTAGCGGATCTCGTTGTTCGCCGCACGAGTTCCAGTGCGCGTGGTAAACTCCACAAAGCACCCGTCTCCCTGCGATGGCCGTAGCTGCAGCCGCAGCGCCTACACAGAACCCCAGCACAGCCGATCCAGGATTCGAAATGTCATCACCTGATGTCCGAGAGGCCAGGTGCAACGTGGGCACGGGTTGGATCGCGGAATTGTGCATCGCCGGTCACGAGAACGGAGAGATCAGGTATGTTATCAGTGCTTTCAAAGGCAATCATGAAGGGATGACATTGTTCTTCGAGAGCAGCGCAACCCTGGGCACTAGGACGGTCGGAGCAGGATAAGGCGCTCACGATGGCACAGATAAGCTACACGATGAACGCCTTTTTGATCTCGGTCATGAATCAACCGCGACATTCATTGCGAGGAATAGTTCGACAGCCAGAAAGAAAACGTAAAGAAAACGTCAGGACATAATTACCACGTCCAGCGAACGTCTCGGAGCATGCTACCGACATCGCCGAAAGTATACAGTCCACTGGAAGCAGGAGGACCAGAGGAGGTGGAAACAAACGTGTCAGCGAGTACAAGGCCGCCCAACAGGTAAAGATGTTCTCGGGTGGCCGGACCAATATCATGGAGTGGAACAAGAAGTTGTCGACCTCGCTCGCCCAAGTGAAGCACGATTACCGGAAACCCTTACAATATAGAGTAACGAATTCGAAGTGGATGTGGTGCTACCCGATGACGAAGAGGACGACATGATACAAATTATGATTTGGAGGTTAATCCTGAGCGAATACACCAACGCGCCAACCACCGAGAAGAAGACGGCGCTAAGAGAAAACGCGAACTAGATAACGACACTTACGCGAAGTTGGACGAGGATCCCTGGTGCGTGTGAAATGGTAAGCTGGAAGGGACGGAACCACTGGGAAAGCTCAGGGGCTTACACGAGGGAGATGGTCTAATGGTGTACCAGTGTATAGATGTATGTTTGTATGTATGTATGTATGTATAGATGCATGCATATATGTATGTTCATTTATTTGGATGAATATATTATGCATGTTTGTGTGAATGTATGAATGTTTGTATGTATGTATGTATGTACATATAGATGCGTGTTTGTTTTTATGTATGTATGTATGCATGCATGTATGTATGTAAGTAAGTAAATATGTATGCATGTATGTATATATGCATGCATATATGTATGTTTGTTTGTTTGTTTGTATGTATGTATGTATATAGTATGCATGTTTGTGTGATTGTATGAATGTTTGTTTGTATGTATGTATGTACATATGTATGCGTGTTTGTTTGTTTGCATGTATGTATGTGTGTATGTATGTATGTATGCATGTATGTATGTGTGTATGTAAGTAAGTAAGTAAGTATGTATGTATGTATGTATGTATGTATGCATGTATGTATGCATGTATGTGTGTATGTTTGTATGTATGTATGTATGTATGTATGTATGTTTGTATGTATGTATGTATGTGCATATATGTATATATACATATGTATATATATATATATATATATATATATATCCATATATGTATGGGTACAACGCCTGTGCCTTCTTCCCGGCTGTCTCGACTCGCTCCGGGGGCTCCGGGCTCCCCGGGTGGCTTCTCCAGCGGCCCGGGAGCCGCCCAGACGGCTTTAAGTGGCGTCGCGGTGACACCAGAAGGTTGCGAGATGTCCCGCGGGGCTTGTGGGCAGCCCCAAATAGCACTAATACAGCCCAAGAGGGCTCGATTTTCGCTCCCCAGAGGGCCCCAAGAGGCAAAAACGATTGATTATCCAAGTTCTCCATGCTTTCGGGCCTCTCGACTTTCGAGCTTCCGACGCTTCACGACGTCCAACGAGGCCTCCAAGACCGCCCCAAGACGGCCCCAGAGACCCCCAAGACCGCGCCAAAACGCTCCAGGAGGGTCCCAAGACGGCCCCAAGAGGGGCCCAGACGGCCCAAGAAGAGCTGCCGACACGGCCTTATGTGGCGTCGCGGTGAGACCAGAAAGCTGCGAAATGTCCCGCGGGACTTCTGGGCACCTTCAGACGGCCCACGAGGATTCTTCTTTCGCTCACCAGGCGGCCCAGGAGGCAAAACACATTGATTTACCATGGGTTCTTCAATGTTTGGGGGGTTCTCGAGTTTCGAGCTGACGCTCCGCGACGTTCCAAGAGGCCTCCAAGACCGCCCCAAGACGGCCCAAGAGACCTCCAAGACCGCCCCAATACGCCAAGAGGGCCCCAATACGGCCCCAAGAGGGGCCCAAGCCGGCCCAAGAAGAGCCGCCCAGACGGCAATCAGTGGCGCCACAGTGGCACCAGAAGGGTGCGAGATGTCCCGCAGGGCTTCTGGGCAGCCCCAGATATCTTCAAGGCGGCCCAAGAAGACTCGGCTTTCGCTCCCCAGACGGCCCCAAGAGGCAGAAAACATTGATCTACAACTGTTTTTCAATATTTGGGGTTCTCGACTTTCGAGCTTCCGACGCGTCGCGA